CTTCACAACGGGACTTAAAAAGTGCAATCGATACCATGTCCAAGACTGCAGCAGAAGGAGACATCCGCTGATAGCATTTTTCCTGTAGTTAGTCGCTCGACACATCTCCCTATATAGGAAAACCAAAACTGTCGAGCCCCAACTGAGTGATCCGGCCAGATGAAAGTCGCCAAGATATCGCAACCACATACATTGAAATTGGTTGCGCGTTTTGTCTGGCATCAACAACCCTCCTATCAGTTGTAGTATGCATGCCCATGCATACATTTTAACTTCATCATCAGAGACGTCCTCACTCAACTCCCAAAAATTGACATCTAACCAATTTAACGGTATCTGACCACCGTTAAAACTTTCCGGGACACGTCCTAGATAATCTCGACACAAAGCAGTCCAGGAACCGTGCGCCATCCCTGATATCACATCTCTATCCACCGGAAGCCCCAGGTGCATAGAAACATCCTCAAGTGTAATCGTGCACTCTCCGCACGGAAGTTGGAATGTGTGGGTCTCCGGCCTCCACCTCTCCACTAAAATAGAAATAAGGTCTGGTTCTATCTTACAGTGACTTTCATATCTACCTATGTGACTGAATCCAACCTCTGCTAAATACGACCAGATACGGGTATGTATCACTAACTTAAGGTTCCTAATAAAATGATTTAATATACGGTCTCTCTCCTAAAATTAAATAATTACAAAAAATAATTTTTAAACTAATAATCATGCATTAAATAAATAAATAAATAAATAAATAAATTATTACTAATAATTTAAATTAAATTAAAACATTAAAATGTTATCGTATCAGCAAAATGTCGAGATATATGATTTTCATCCAAGCGAAGTAGATCGCCTTCCATTTTATATCTGTAAAAAAATAATTAAATAAAATTTTAAATATTTAAATAATTACTAACAAAATACTAATTATATAAATATACCTTAAACAGTTACAAGAGAATATAAGAGTATTTAAAAGAAGTTGGGAGGATTTGGTGTGATAAAGTGATTGAGAATGGAGGAACTTATAGAGAGGGGATGAGGTGTGAACGACTGGGTAGTTGGGTATTTAAACTTAAGGCGCGCTACAGGGGGCGAGCCTTTCTAACATGTGTCAGCATTAAAACTAAGGCGCGGCCCCTGTACCGCTCTAAAGCCCTACGTGGCATAAGGCACGCCCCAAGGGTCGCGTTTTATCCACGTGTATCACAACTCAGCATAAGGCGCACTTCAGGGGCGTGCCTTATCCCACGTGATGTCAAATCAACCTAAAACGTGATACAGGGTACATCTTTCTGCAAAAGGTGTTAGATCAAGAAATATAACGCTTTGGTTTCTGGGTTTCATCCACAATGTAATTGTCGCTCTTTCCAGCTACCTCGGACTATCCGATTTCCTTGAAACGAACACCGTCTGGCAAGATACCCGGACCCCAAGACCCAAGAACCCGCCCATATCGGCCCTCCTGATCCGGGAAATCCTCCCCGTTATAAAGTTCGACGAGCTATTCGTGGTGGGGGACCCGCCGGAGAGTTGCGCCGTTTGCTTGTATGAGTTCGAAGGAGGTGAATCAGGTGGTTGAGGAGCTGTCAACACATTTTCCATCGGGCTTGTTTGGACTGTTGGATGTACCATGATCAGAAAACTTGTCCGCTCTTTAGAACACTATCCGGCTCTGGGCTGTTTCCGGGGTCGGCGATCTACAGAGTGAGTACATTTCGGTTCCGGGGTTGTAAATTTGCTTTCCTTTATGAAATGAGTGGAAATTGTATATGTTTACATTACAATTTTATGGGGGCATTTTTGAACAAGTATATGCCCGTAAATGAACAGGAGAATGATATGTTCATGTTCGTTCATTTAACTTTAATCGAATAATGAACGAACACAAACATAACAAATAAAAAATTTATTGTTTGTGTTCGTTCGTTAATGAATGTAGTTTGTTCGTGTTCGTTCATATTCGTTCATTTAAATAATAAACGAACACAAATGAAAGAACATAAACGAATTAATGTAAACGAACACAATAAACTTAAAGGAACACAAAAGAACGAATGTAAACGAACACAATAAATGAATACAATGAATATACTAACATAAATGAATATAGATTTTTTTTCTTTCTTAACAATTTTAGGATTATATTTTATTTAATTGTTTTGAGGTTTTTTATTTATATTTAAAATTAATTTGAATTTTAAAATTTTATGAGTATCAGATTAAAATTTATTAAGCTTTAATATTTTAAATGAGTCTAGAGAGATTTGATTAAACATAAATGAATACACATAAACGAACGAACATAATGAACATATTACCGAACGTTCACGAACATAAATGAATGAACGAATCCTCTGTTCGTGTTCGTTCATTTAATTAAACGAACACAAAATCTATTCATATTCGTTTGTTTAATAAATAAACGAATATAAACAGATTTTCGTCGAACAACTCACGAACCTGAACGTTCGGTTCGTTAAGAGAAAGTATGAATTGCAGAAACATTGGTTGGTGCATTTAAAGGTTGATTTTGTTTTTCTTTCATATTGAACTTGGGTTCTGTCCCTCAGCTTTAAATCCCCAAGTTGCCCTGTTCCCTAAAAAACAGTGACATCAAAAAGGTTGTTGCTCTGGGATGTGAAAAATCAACATCAGGGGCTTCACTTTATTTCAATTAATTAATTGATTGATAATTTTTTTTTAAAAATAATGTAAATATTTCTAAAAAATTTATACTTGAATTTCATAAAGGTTTAAATATTTCAATTTTTTGACTCTGTCAGTGAAAGTGGATTTGTATTTGCTATTTGAGGTGGGAAGTAACAGGTTCAATAAGTTTTAAGTTTGGGCCGATACTACGTGCATAAATTCAGCTTTTTATTGTTGGAGTTAGATATACGTGAAGCGTTGATTTCACTTACTTGCGAGTTGCTTCATCCAATATTTCTAATAAATTACCCGCATTAAGTTCCATAGGGTCCTGATGAGCAACGTGGTTGTCTAAAGAGCCGAGGGGAACTGAGACCTCCAAAGCACAAAACCCACATCGGGTGGGGGAGAGATCCTTCCCCCGTACCACAGCGGTCGACGAAGGGCTCCACCCAAACAAACGAAAGAGACACAACAAGGGAGGGAGCTGAGCGGCGTCTAAGGATGAAATCCCCAACGAACAGGCCCATTCTCAGCAGCCTCCAAAGCTACAAGGGAGGGAGCTGAGCGGCGTCGGACAACCCCGGGCCCGTTGAAAAGAGTTTTTTGGGGCTTGTAAAATGAAAGGGAAAAGAAAACTAATCATAGGCTCTTTTCTCTCCTCATCCTCACAACTTTCATGTGAAGATAGCAGCAAAACAACACCACTTGTGCTTGCATTTGAAAATTTCCCGGATCCATCCACAGTCTTAGATGATGAACATCCTTGCCTTGGGTAAAAACACCTCGTGCGATTGTGCTCCATTTTTAAGACTGAATACACAATAGTGGTAAATGGTTTATGCTGATACTTTGAACTACTCTTGTCAGAACCATGGAACTCCCTGTTGTAGGATTTCCACGATTCCATGTGTCTGAAAGTGATGTATCCTCCTAACTGGAAACCAAGTTTTGATTGCTCCATCTTTCCCGATTTGTATGAAGAATGGCCAGGAGATTTCAGTCTCCTATTAATTATATACAAGAAGATTATTCTATTAGTTGAATTACGGATGCTCCTGTTTATCTAAGTGCTCTTACACATTACAAAATACAAATCCTCGCAGAATGGTCTATGGATTCGATTATGACCCTATCATCTTTGACACTGGATGGTGGACCAATTTTCCATAGCAGTAGCAGGAAATTGATCGGTAAGAAGGAAGCAGCTCCAATTTTCTGCAATTATCACCCATGCACACCATGGGTGATTCCATGATTCCACGATTCCACAAATGAGTCGAAATGGAAACCACCGCTTTTACTTCACTTAATACTTGTCAATATTGAAACATGCTCCTAATTTGAGTTCAACTGCATTATACCTTCCCATAACTATCATCAATACACATCCGAAATCTATCATTTGATGCATTGTTCGTTTATTAATGATTATCTCATTCCATAACATGATGAGTTAGCCTAGTTCCTATGCTCTATCAATTCATAATTACGTATCATATCAGTAGATTCCCGGTAAATTGCTTGTCGGCAAGAGATGGATTGAGAGGTGCTGCCGTGTTGGAGTGTGCAGTTGAAAAATGAAACCAAAGAAATTACAAAAACCGCCTTAGGTTTTGAGACATTGACTAACATAACCTCGTTTTGGTCCGCGAGAGTCACACCGTAAAATATCTCCTCTACTGCAAGTTGGCAGAGCAAATTCTAGTCTCACCCGCAACAAAACCCAACATCATAAAAAACAATACCCCCGACTAAACAACCCCTCGAAATTAAGTTACTTGATAATCTAAAACCCTAGAAGTAAAAAAAACAAAAAATACTTAAAATTATCAAATTCTTCACATTAGGGACTTTAACGTTCTCTTTTAATAGGTTTTCTCGTTCGTTTCTTGCCGCCACCATCCACGTTCTCCTCGTCATCCTCCTCATCACACGACATAATCAAATTCTTCATTATTGTCGAATTGCGAAGAAGACGACGACGGCATCGTATTGTTTTGAGTGGTGACAGCGCTGCTGTTGTTTTCAAATCTTTACCCTCGACAATAATTCTCCCTCATTTCGCTGTTGTTGCCGCCTCTCCTCCTCCACGACGGCCCGGACCCGAAATAATAGTATAATTCATACGGATTCGACGTCGACGACTGCCCTTTATTGGCCGCCCCGGCTCGTCCACGGCGGTTCCCGGCTTTCTTGCTTGTCAATGAGCTTGGATTATTCCCATTATCGTGGCAGCAAGATTTCAGTGAACAATTTTGCTTGGATCCCTTTCCTTCATCTTCGCAATGGGTGTGGAACCCGAATTGGTCACCTATTTTCGTCTCTTCCTCGTCGTCGATAATCGCGTTCGACTTTCATAATCGATTTATCTTCATTGTCCATCATCGACGCTACGCTGCGTATTTCGAGTAACAAACCATGACATATTTCAACACCCGTTGGGTAAACAATAAACAATATGGGTTTTCAATAACTCGCCAGCTCATCATGAAATTTGTGGATAATTATTCGACTATAGAGGACGAATAATAAAAACCCTAATAGAATATCACGACAGCAAATTCAATAAAAGCAATCAGATCGAAGAAATATGAAGAGGATTACCTCTCGACAGCGCCAATAGAATCGCCTAAGCTCCCATTTCCATTAAAGATATCTTCAGGTTCAAACTGGGGGTTTTTATAAAAAAAACAAGCAGTAAACGAAGCTAGCAACCAACTAAAAACTCGAACCAGAATTATAATACGCAGAAATGACGAACAACCATTAACCTAAATACACGATAGGAGAGAGAATTTAGGGTTTATCAAAACCCTAAAAGAGATATGACGGGCATATGAAAATGTCAGACGAAACATAAAATGGAGGCGAAGGGTAAAGAAGGAAACAAGGAGCAACTAGATCTGCCATGAGGGACGAACCAATTTATTCTGAAACAGCAAAGAAGAGAAATGAAAGAGAGAGATAAGCAAAGAGTTTGTGTACCCGGTGATGAAGATACGATGGGTATGGTTCTTGAGTGGAAGGAATCACATCCCATGGCGACTGGTTCAGCTCGCATACGTGCACACTCTTGGCCCTCGTCAAGTTGATCAGCGAAGACAGCTTCGCGTTCTTTCGAATCCTCATACTTTTATCGATATTGATTAAAAAATCACCCATAAACACGAAAGAGAGAAAGTAAGCAAATTGGAGGGAGATGGGAAGGATAAAAAGAATGAAAGGCAAGAGAAGGAAATGAAAAAATATTTAGACCCAAAAGGGTGTTTATTTTATGCCTTTTCTTTGTTTGTGTCCCACGGGAGAGGGGTTGGGGATTTGGTTTGGTAATGCTTTGCATATCTCACAGAACTTGATGATCAGGGTTTTCTCATCTTTCTTTTGCTTTCTCGGCCCTTCATATCATCATGTTTCTATTTGTTTTTTTTTTTTTTCTCATTTCTCCTTAGGTTTTTTATTTATTTTTCGAAAATGGCATCGAGAGGAAAAAAAGCTGCCGCTGTTACACGTCACGATAGTTGTCCAAAGTTTTTTTATTCTAATATATTGGACGTTAATGATCGTGTACACTTGATTCCACGTTGTTTTCCGGTGGGGTATCTGCAATGTTCCCATTATTCAATAATATTTTTCTCAATTTTTGTAAAAATGCTTTCTTTTTCTAAATTAGAGTTCATTCATTAGATGATTATTACCCAGAATAATTTAAATGTTTTAGGGGTATTATGGTCAATTGAGATTAGTTTTTAAAGAGAGGAGGAAGGAACAGAGTGAATCTTACCCGCTGCAAGGGGATGTGAGAGGGAGAGGAGAGTGGCGAACATGTGGCCCACAAAAAATGGATTTGATGAATGTACTTTGGTGGGTCCGGACTTAGATTGGAGGGATACGATTGAAGAGGCTAAACTCTTACAAGCAGAAGATGGGAATGGGATACCGCATGGCATAAATTTATTTAGCGGTAGGTTAGGTTATAATATATGAAAACTATAAATATCAGTATATTTGATCCCATCCGATTATCCTACGTGTCAAGCTACAACATATCGACAAATTAATTATACTAATCCTAACATTTTTTTAATAAGGGAAAATATTTAGGGTAAACTCCTCCAAGGTCACTAAACTATTGGTTTAATTTATTTTTACCATTAGACTAAATATTTATCAATTAGATCACTAAACTTTTAATTTGATTCTAATCAAGCTACCTACTGTTAATTGTTGGCGAAATTAATGACATGAAAAATAAATTTATATGTTAATTGTTTATTCCTCATTACTTATACATTCTATCAATTTGACCACCATCTTGTTGGAGAATTATATTTATTAATTTTTTATAGTTAAAATTAGAAACAAATTGATAGAATGTGTAAATAATAATGATCAAATGTGTTACCCTAATTTTGACCAATTTAATAGAACATATAAGTAATAAGGATCAAATGTATTATTATATAAATTTACTTAATTGTCATGTCAATATTTCCATTAACAGTTAATGGTCGGTGACTTGATAAAAATCAAATTGAAAGTTTAATGATCTAATTTACAATTTTTAGTTCAATGATCAAAATAGAATCAAGCTAATATATAATTACCTTGGGGAAATTTACCCAAAGAATGGAAATCAAGATTTCAATTCAATAAATTACTTTATCAAAACTAGTTTTTTTAGCTAAACGTATACACATAAATAATATTCATTTTCATAAAATGTTTGATCTTTTAAATAATTTATTTTTTAATAAAATTATCAAAGGTTTGCGTTTAAAGGTATAGTTTTAAACATTTGATTTGTTGAATAAAATATTTTGCAATGCTTTTAGGTGGATGATAAATATTTGTATATATAAAAATTGGTCATAGTTTGAATCTCAATTAATTAGTTTTAATATATTTTAAAAGATTATAACAGTATAAAAAGACAATAACACCCTTATAATGATATTTACTGCACTTTGTAAAAAGATATAATATTGTAATTTTTTATTTAATTAGGGATTAAGTTTAATTTTTAAATTTAATCACTTAATTTGAATATTCATATTTTGCTCGTTATGTTGTCAAATAATTAACAATATTATAACATAACTGACATCGTTTTAGATCTATACAAACCCAATTTTTCTTTTTTACATTTTCCTTCTCTTCTTCTTTTTCTTCTTCTTTTTTATCATCTCATTTTTTATCTATTTGTTTAGATTATGACTATCGCAAATTTGGATCCATATGACTGTCGACAATTGTTAACGGCGATCGATGAGATAAATTTTTCATCAAATACATTATAAACACAATTTTGGTATCCGCTTAATTGAAAAGACCAAAATTCACGAGTATAGTATCGTAATTTCCATTTTCTTATACTAATATCGCATTTTAATGACTTTTGATGATCAAACCATACACCAAGAACATCCTCTTACCGTCCTATTTCCTTTTTAACATTATATTTCGCCAAAAAACAAAACTTCAAAGAACATTACAATCTCACTTAAAACTTTGTATTTATTTATATTTTATCTATTATTTCAATCATCCGATCACGTTATATTCAAGATATATCGTTTTTCTCGTCGAATAATTGTGATAGGATATTTTTTAATAAAAACAAAAATTATATATAATTTTAAATCGTATTCTTTTATTTAAACTCTTGCTCTAAGAATATTAGTGTATGATTTCTTAATTAAATATTTTAAATATTCTTTATACTTTTGACTTATAATTATAATATTATTGTAATGAAAACTATTCTAAGTGAAGACAATAAAATTTAAAGTTAAAATATGAATTAATTTTCATTTACATTTTAAAAATATTTATAAAAAAAATTATGTAGAGTTCACAAAATAATTTAATTCGTTCATGTTCAAAATTGAAAGGACCTAAAGAAGATTTAAACCAAAATATTTAAGCCTATTAACAATAATTCTAACGTTTTAGATCAAAATATTAATGTTGAAAACTTATAGAGATTAAAATCCATTTTTTACAACAGAAAGACTAAAATGAACTTTAAGTACAATATAAGACTAAACTATTCTTTTTTAATGAAAAAAGTAAAATAAATTTTTAGATATAATACGAAGACTTCTAATACTTCACATGCAGCAACAATGGACTCCGTTGCTCTGTACCACATACTTTTGTCACTACTAGAGTATATTTCCAGAAAGTGGAGTACATAACTACAACATGACGTATAAATACACACAAAAATACGTACAACAATTATCAAGTCAGAGATTATATCACGCCGGTGTAAAGTCGAGAGTTTATTTAAAATCCATACAAACTCGTACGCCATAATGGAAGAAGCGTAATCCTTATCGTTATGCAGAAGAATTTCTCATTTCAACACACTGCAGCAGAGAATAGCGAATCACAAAATTTATGGTAATAGTAATAATTTATGGGACTCTTAACAGTCTAACTCGAAAGTAACTGTCGGATATGGATATCCTCGAATTTCTTTTAAAAAATATCCGAATCATACCTCCGCACCCATGTCTAGATGCTCGGATTTGTTAGACATGAGCACTTTGGAGAAATAAATCTTTCAGGTGAAGTTGAAGAATGGTTTGAAAGATTTTGGTTGAGCTTAGTAAGGGGCACATGAGAAGCAATGGCGCTAATGTATTAGCAAACAATTTAAACAATGATATTTCGATTCCCACATGCTTTAGGCGACGCCTGAATACTTTTTGGAACATAGAAAAGGAAAACTCAAATACTAAATGTTTCATACTGTATAATTCAAGAAAATACAGAGAACTTACTTGCATAAATAGGCAGCAGTCCCGAGAATTATACATAATAGGATGATATCAATGCAGAAGTTGCGACTTGATCTCAGCTGAACAAAATCAAAATATGCATTAAGATACAGAAAGCAGCTTCCATCCAAAATCAAAGATATATTGCAATAGAATTACCTTGTGTACAGTATCCTTAAGTCTCACATTCGTGCTTTTCAGATCCGAGGCTGCCCTATCTACCTGGAAGATATCAAAAAATAGTGTCGAAATTGGAATTCTAATCTGCCGAAACTTTCAGATGAAAAGGATAACGATCCAAACTTACCTTTTTATCTCACAAAAGACTAAACATCAATAGCTAGTTAATAATCTTCGGATATTTTAATGGTTAACCATTAAAAGGCTTCATATACGAATTTAATATTTTCTAGAATGCTATTATCAAACTAACAGAAAAGTTGCCGATGTCCATGGCAACTGAAGAAGGATAACTTAAAAGTAGAAAATCACCTTGTCATCTATTTCATCCATTAGTGGCATTGTCTGTCCAATTCCTGTCATAAGAAAGAAATGGAAAATTTAGGACACAAATAACTAAAACATCTAGCATAAGATCTCACAGTTTAACATGATTTAGACCAAAACGAAAAGGAAATATCCGACAAAACTAACCTCGTTCATATCGTGAGCCATGTTTTCAACGTGTCCAAACCTTCAGCTATAACCTCCAAACCTTGATCCTACATTAAAATAGTGTATTGCTCTCAAATATAATCATTAAAATTCAGGTAGAAAGGAAGATTACTATAATCCTCCAAATCCGATATATTACCGCCATTAGAGTTATAAATGTTAATCTAATAGCAAGCAAGCAAAGCAAAGCTGAAAATCTCGTAGCAACAATAAGGCAAACAACGACAAAGAGAAGGAATTACTACCTGCTTCAGTCTGCGCATTTCGTATTCTTGCCTGAACCGGTCAGACTCTTCGGTTTGTTGAAAGTACTCGCTCTCAAATTTTCCATCTGATTAATCCAATTACCGAACATTCAAAACAATTGATCATAGACAGATATCTTGAAACTAATATGATCTAATAAATAAATTGTTATCACCTGAAGATGAATCAATTTTAATTCCAGTAGGAACTCGAAGTTGCACAACCACCAGTACTTTGCTTAGTTGCAGCTGTTGATCCATCTGATATTGCTTCAATCCTATCTTTCAGTGCATAAACCAAATCGTTTCGAGCTTCAAGCTCTTCTTTTGAAATCTCCTTTACCTATAACACCAGAGATTAATAACACCAGTTAACGA